AAAAAAAAAACCTCTAGTTTGCGCAACAGAGGAATGGTAGAGTAGCGTAAGGAAGTGAGAACCACGAAATCCGCCAGCCCAGAACATAAAACATATAGTAACAGGATCGGACTTGGTCAGAGAGAATATGCCTAGAGGCCGAACTCGCAAATGGAAGGCGGAATGTCCTGAAGGGCTGGACTAAACGGATATAAGCTGGCTTTTTTGTCATTTTTTAATTGTTCGTTTTGGGTCCCCACTTTCGTAGAAGTCTCGTCCGCCCAATCTAATCTAGCCATGTTCCCACATTCCTGATTTGGCACCAATGAGCCGGAACGATATTCAACCAGCACAGAAAGTCAAGCTGGGAAAATTTGAAAGTCAAATTGCGAATCATATGCTACGACGCCATTGAGCATAGATAGATGTACTATGACTAAGAGAAAGATTCACATACTATCTACGTACCTAGGAAACTCGAAATAGGTCATTTATAGACGAGGATGGTGAATTCTGTCGGGGCTCGTAAATCGGAAAAGAGGCGTACAGACAAAAAAGAAATTTTGTTCAGATCGTGCTCGCCATAACGCGATATTCTGATCAGATAGGTAGATGATGTTCAAAATGACGTCTTAGTTTACCTAGACCACGGAAGGTTACTGTACAAATATACCCAAAGGGTAATATGTTTGTTGGGCGAGCCTGTAAATGTTCTCCAGTGATCAAATTTCACTTTCTTCGCCCATCCCGCACTTTCAGACACTTAAGTAGGCAGGCACAGGCTGTTCGTTCCACGCATTCAGGTGAGAAACACCAACGGCTCCCTACTCGGCTACGAAGCCAGAGGCGGAGACGCCAAGTACTGGTGGTTGAGATAGAGACTGACCCGAGCCTTCCAGACTCATCCACATCACCCCGTACCACGCCTGCCACACGTACACGTCTAAGTCCATACCGGCGGCATGTCGTCTGGCAGCTCCCAAAAGCTCGTCCTACAGAGTTCTGATGGCGAGGACATCGAAGTCGGTGAGCCACATCTCAGCATAGTCTACATGCCGCTTCGGCGAGCTGATTGCTTGCAGATTGCGTTGTTGCCGAGAGATCAATTCTCATTAAGAACGCGGTCGGCGATCTCGGCAAAGGTGCCATGGAGGAGGTCATCCCCATCCCCAACGTCGAAGCCGCCGTCCTCAAAAAGGTGATCGAGTGGTGCACGCATCACCAGACCGATCCTCCTACAACGGGCGAGGATGACAAGGACCCGCGTAAGAAGACGCCTGACATCAACGAGTGGGATCAAAAGTTCATGCAGGTTGATCAAGAAATGCTTTTTAACATCATCCTGGCGGCCAATTATCTCGACATTAAGCCTTTGTTGGATACCGGATGCAAGACCGTCGCCAATATGATCAAGGGGAAGTCGCCCGAAGAAATCCGCCAAACGTTCAATATCAAGAACGACTTCGCGCCTGGGGAAGAAGACCAGATCCGCCGGGAAAACGAGTGGGCTGAAGAGTGAGTTTACCGCCCACTGGATCTACGGTGACACATACTGACTTCTCAAATAGTCGTTGAAGTTAGTCCATTTTATTGGCGCGTGAGGATGAGGCGGTCAGCAGTTGCGGTCGGAGAGTGATTCTAGCGTTTGTGGAGGTACAAAGTTGAAGTCGTTGGAGGCTTCTAAATGAACGGCCTGCGCGCCCAAACGAATGAGCAAACTCCAGCATGATTCCGTAACGTGTGAGCATTATCTAGGGTAGTTATGGAGTAGACTAAACGTCGCGGAGAGAACAGGCTGTATCACCCCGAAGGTGACCGTCCTCTCCATTAAACGAGGTATATGTCTTCTCGTCCCATACTCTCCAATGCATCCTCGACGGAGACGCTTTCTTCAGACCGAATGCCACAGACCGTGCAAGCCTGGCTGTGGTCCAACCCGAATATCCCAATTCTCTCGTACCTCGTCTCAGCTGCAGGCGACACCGATTCTCTCAATAGGAGGCCGGCGAGAGCTGTTGGCTCCACTCCCGATCGCTCCTGCCACTGTGTGCAGATTGGAAGTAGAAACACAACCATAGAATCGGAGTCTGGCACCATCGGCGTATCGAGGTAGATGGTGGGCTCCATCGAGCATGGTTGCATGTCGTTGGGGTCGTCGTGACTGCTGAGCACCAACACATACAATCCATCCTCCTTGGGGTTTCCGTCCACATCCCGGTTGGCGATTTGGAGACGAGCCTCGAACAGAGATCCTCGAATTTGCATCTCCGCGGATGAGACCTTGGCCATTTTGCTGTTCTTGGGCTGTTCAATGGCTGTACTCAAGATCT